GACAAGCTGATGTTTGCAAAACACTCAGAAGCAAGGCCTGGGACTCTGGTTTCTAACAAACTTCTACAAGTCCAAGGTACTTAATTGTTGAGCATCATTTATTATTGACTGACCAAATCCTCCCCAGGGAGCGAGAGCAGAGTGGTGTGAGGTGGCTCAAGGCACTGTGCCCTTCTCACTCAGAGCACAAGGAGAAGGGGGAAACAATCCTGTCAGTGTAAGTGAACTGAGACTGAAGCAGCTGCTGAATGTTGTCAATAGACTTCCTGGTAATGGCTGGTACAATTTCATTAGGGCTTCTCATTTTATTTAATAAAACATTGGATTATTTTATTTGTAATTCAGTAACAGGTGCAGGAAAACAAAAGGCACATTTCCTGATAGTGTCCACAAAGAGTCCATTACTGCCTGGCTGACACAGAGGCATTTGCTTTGCCATGTGTATTTTTTTTTTTTTTTTGATGGGAAAATAATAATCACAGAAAAAAAAAATGTTTTGTGATAAAAAACTTCTGAGAGACGAATTGCTTTAGAGTTAGCAACAGCACTGTGCAAACAGTTTCAGTGCAAGTTGAAGTAAAGAGGGAACAGTCCTGGGTAAACACTGATCCTGCTTTAGATAAAGACCAAAGATTTTCTGCAGGTGGTAACAACCATTAATCCTCATCATGTACAACAGGCAAACACAGAAAAGGCTCAGCTTGTGATCCCAGGAAGTCCCCTGGAGCCTGGATCTAGTGAGGGATGGAGGTGCTTAGGAGGGAGAAACTGACAGTTTATCTTTGCTAATCAATAAAAACACGGAGCAGAGCCCCAGGTGACTCTCACTGGCCTTCACAGTAAATTCTTAATTTCTCTTTCTGACATGTGAGTGTTCAACCAGTAATTAGGCTGTTTGTAGGGATTCAGAAGATGGAATTTTGAATTCTTCACACTGAAGGTGACATTGAAATTACATCTTCCCCCTTTTTAGCTTCCTTTTAAATGAAAGTGCCACAACAGAATTTTCTTAAAATTGAAGTCTACCAAGAAGTACTAACATACTAAAAGGTCACAAAAGATTTTAAGCTTTGCTTTGGTGTTTGTGAAACACAAAGAGAATCTGATCACACCCTGCACTCCAAGTTTGCTTCAGTCTTAATTTTAGTTTTGAGTTACAGTGACCAGTAAACCTTGAATTGGGTTACTGCTTCATGTAATGCAATTTTTAGGGCCTTGCTTTTACCATCTTTTTCCCAGTTCCTTGAAAAAATGTTTGTGTCAAAGATGAAGACCCACTGTCAGTGCAGTGACATCATGAGCAGCAGGAAAGGTGACACCTTGTGCAGTGACAGCACACAGCAGGGACACAAACCAAGGAAACACCACTCCTGAAAATCCAGCAGGGCTGACACCAGCTCTGTACAGCATTTTCTGGATTTTCTCCAAATAAGCAGAATTAGAATTCTATTTTTAAAAAGCTTTCAAATTAAAATTACTATGGAAATGTGTTTCTTATTCCTCAACAAGATCTTCCCAAGAACAAACTTGTTGCTACCAAGATGAGCACCTCAATTGATCAAAATGAAGATCCACCACATACTGTCTGTTCTTCTAAAAGGTCCTTGAAAAATAAAACATCTTGCAAATGGGACATCAATCAAGCATTTTTTTCTTTAAAAGTAAAGTTTGTTAAAAATAAAGTTGCTTAAACAGTTTACTGGTTATATATTCTATTAGTTAAATATTCTCTTAAAATTAAAGAGTCTTCATAAACTCTGTCTGTCTGAGCCACGCAGCCTTTCAGGACAGCAGCTCCACAACCACTGGCCATTGCAAAACCCGGGCTGCTAATCCAGTGCTGACAAGGCACAAACCCTACCAGGGCATTAAACAGGCTCAGCTGGGCTACACCCAGTTAAAGGCACAGCCAGGGAAATGGGGAGGATGCAGGCAAGGCTGGCAGACTGGCACTCACCCCGTGGACAGATGTGCTCCAGAGAACATTCCATAGGGACATCCCAGTGGCCCCTGGCTGTGGGGCCATCGTCCTCCAGAGTCACTCACCCCCAGCCCCTCGCTGGGAGTGGGAATGTTCATCAGCATCTCTGCAGGAGCTCACAGTGTGCAGCTTTCCCCACACGTGACACCAAAATGCACAAAGATGCATTTATCTCCCTGTCTTTGCCCACGGGGCTTGAGGTGTCAAAGATGCCAACATAAATTGCTTGAAACACACAGAGGTGAGGTTTCAATTTACTCCTCTGCTCAACACAATAAAGGGACTGGTGGCAATGAACTTCTAAAGCACATCTCAGACAGGAAGAGCAGGGGGAAAGTAAAGGCTGAGCTCTAACTGCACAGGAAGCACAGCCCCACAGCTCCTTGTAAAGGAGTTGTATTCATTATTTGCACCTGCCCCTGTCTGAAGGAAACCTCCTGCCCTGATTCAGGCAGCAGCAACAAGCAGGGACTCTGCTGGTCCTGACTGCTCCTGCTCAGGGACTTCAGAGGCTGCAGTGCCCCTGGGGCTGCAGTGACCCTGGGGCTGCAGTGCTGAGCTCCAGCACAGCAGGGAGGTCAGGGTAGAGCCCAACACCTGCTCAGAGAGGACAGTTTGTTCAGTCACTCCTTCTTTCAGAAAATTATTGTCAGATTTGAAATTAGAGGTGATCTTTTTTCTTGTTCCTTTCCCCTAAGGAAAAGACCAGCAGGAAACAGGAAAGTTCCTTTCCATTGAGTTGAACAACAGAACCCAAAATATGAGCAACCAGCAGCAGGAAACAGCCCTGAAGAAGGAAGGAAGCTCCTGTGCAAATGTCTTAAACAGACAGCACAGAACCACTGCATGAGCTTTCAATACACAAACAGCTTTTAGAAGAGATTCTCTGGATTATTTCATGTACCCCTCTCCTCAAGGAGAAGTCTCTTCTCTTGTTTTTACACACAGCTGCCTCAATGCAAATATAAACTAATTCCTTAAGGCTTTCTATTGCTGCTCATGGAGATAAACGCAGCCTCTTTAACCAAGCAGGATGGGCTCAAGACATTATTTAGCAGATGGTGCTGGTCACGTACCTGCAAGTTTTCCTGTAAAGGAAGAAGCAGCCTTTATCCAACATGGAGTGAGCAGCTCCTGACTTAGCAAGGACCTGCCGGCACCAAGCCCTGCATTTGATTTCCAGGATATCCCATCTTGTACCATCATTTCTCTGGGATGGAAGATGAGGTACAGCACTCAGGAGCAGAAAGCAAAAGTAATCAGTGAGTTAAAGCAAACTTTCAAACAAGCACAAGGTGGTGGAGGGAAAGGGAAGCTGACAAGTAGACACAACATGAAAAGGGGATGTAATGTGGGCAGAGCTGTGCTCTGCGGGCCCCACTGAGGAACTCCCCCAGAATGCTCACTGAGCACAGAGCTGACACAGTCTGGAGGTTGCACACTCATTGGAATTTTTATCAGCAGAAAAAAAATGTCTAAATTGTCTCTGTCCCCTCCTGGTTCTTCCTTCCCAACATCCAGGCATCTCCTCACACAGGCCCGTGCAGCAGTTTCTGCAGTTGGAAAGAAAGACATGAACAGAAACAAAACCAGACATCCAAACAGTTCATTTGCTCCCACTGGGAAAATATTGCTTTGCCCTGGGTTAGAACTAAGAAGAAAACAACTATGAAAGCATCAGTATTCAGATACTTGTGGGTGGACTGGGTGCTCAGAAGTTGCAATACCTCTGTCAGGTGTAAACATTTTCTTGTTATACTCCAATTTGTGCAACAGTCCTAATAAACACTCTGAGGATAAATAACTGTGGTCAGCATAAATACTGCTGAAGTTTATTTTAAGCTATCAGGTTTTACAGAGTACTGATCATCTTGTTTTTCTGTAAAAAAACCCAAACCTAACAAACCACAGAACTTTTTTTCCCCTCAAGTTCTTTAATCCTTAAGATGAACTATGGAAGGGGGGAGGAGAAGGACAAGAAAAAATATAGGGGGGGAAAAAAATCACAGCTTACATCTGAATTTAATTCCAGAGAGTTAGTTACTTTCAGAAGTCCTGCCAGCCACTTGATTCCTTTGTACACACAGCTACATCAAACAATACCCACCGTGGGCAAAGAGCTTCCCAGAGGGAGCATCCTGTGCTCCCTGCCACGCAGCCAAGTCCTGGGGGACCAGGGGGCTCCTGCTGAAGCACCCTCGTGCCCCACCATTGCCTTTTTTCCCCACACACGTTGCACATTTAGAACCCAAAATATTTATCTGTGGCTTTTACAAGGATCTGGGCATCCCACCATGCTGTTCTCAGCACTGGGGCACCATGAGGCTGCTTCACCTCCCATTGCTAGGGGATCAAACACAACACACAGAACCTGCTCCCCAGGGCAGTTATTTTGTGTTATATGTACTGTATGTCATATCTGCTCTGTGTGTTATATGTGTTATTTATGTGTGCTAAATGCTATGTGTTACATGTCCTCTGCATGTTATATGTGTTATGTGCTAAATGCTATGTGTTACATGTCCTATGCATGTTATATGTGTTATGTGCTAAATGCTATGTGTTACATGTGCTATGGGTGTTGTATGTGTTATTTATGTGCTAAATGTTGTGTGTTACATGTGCTATGGGTGTTGTATGTGTTATTTATGTGCTAAATGCTATGTGTTACCTGTGCTATGGGTGTTGTATGTGTTATTTATGTGCTAAATGTTGTGTGTTACATGTGCTATGGGTGTTGTATGTGTTATTTATGTTTAGCGTGCTAAATGTTTTGTTACATGTGCTCTGTGTGTTATATGTGCTATGTTTATGCGTGCTATACGTTAGGTGTTACATGTCATGTGTGTTATATGTTTTCTTAACAGCTGTTACACGTTATATATGCTCTGTTACGCGTGCTGTATGTTACACACGTTACGTGTCACCTGTGTCATGCCCTGTTTCCCTGCACACGACCCGCAGGGCCGCTCCCCGCCCGCCCGGTCCCGCCCGGTCCCCGCGCTGGGGCGGGCGGAGGTGGCGGCCCCGCCGGGCGGGAGCGCGGAGCCGCAGGTGGGTGCCGGGGCCGGGCGGGGACAGCCCGGGCGTCCCCTCGGAGCCCCCGGGCCGCCTCCCTCCCTCCCTCCGGCTCGGAGCAGGACCTCTCGGAGCAGGGAGGGCCGCGGGCAGCGGCGGAGCCCCGCCGGGAGCAGCCGGGACGAGGAGCGGGAGGCGCCGGCAGCCGCGGGGATCTCTGTGCGCAGGATGGGGGCTGTGCCCGCACGGCCCCGACAGGTGATTCCGCCTTACTATTATTGCTATAATAGTCGTATTAATTATTCTCTTACTGAACGGGACCTTGTTTGCGTGCCGGCTCTCTCCTCTCTGCGTGCCCGAGTGCAGCATCCAGGACATGAAGACAAAACACACGGGAATTAAGCCGTACTGTAATACAGATCAGGTTTCAGAGGATGCACTTGTGCAGATGAAGAGTGAAGCGGCCAGCCCAGGTAGGCTTGTAAACAAACTCCATGGATGCTTCTCAGGTTGTGCTGCCAAGGACCTGTAGTTGCTCTGACTCTGCTCTCAGGACACACGAACTCAAACGTGCACTAACACGAGGTGTCTGCTTGAATCGAAACAATTCGCTGTTAACACAGAGCCAAGGAGTCAGCTCAAGTACAGCTGCCTTGGCTCCTCTTCTTTGCTCTCCCTGGGATCACGGACACCACCCTGCTTCTTTAGGAAAGAGAGAAGAAATCAGATAAAACTGTCCACACTGTCTTGCTGACATACGCAGAGCCACCCTATGTTCATTTTCCTTAGGAACTAATATTTGGAAAAGAGTTACCATAAAGAAACTTGTGAAGTCTAAAGGGAAAACCAGCTGTTCTGAGGTCTCTGTCATTGCAGTACTTAGAGATGAACAAAGAAGTCCAATTCACTAATGAAGCCCTTGTGCTTTGGATTGCCTCGGAGTTCCAGGATTTTTCCACCAAAAAAGGAGGTGATGCTTGATGCTTTTTCTGCTTTCAGGATATTTCTGCAGTCTCGTTTTCCTACAGATTCTATGAGCATAATGAACTGTGAGGCTGTGCTGCAGCATCTCCTGCAGTGTCTTCTATGATTTCTGTCCTGTAATTTTTTCAGAATATGCAGGAGCTCTGAAACCTCCATCCCTTTGGTCAGCTGGACAGAAAGACCTCTCCATGCCCTCTAAAGGAAAGCAACATAGTCAACCTTTTTTCCTATACCTTTCCTTGGGTCATTAGCCAGAAAAATAAATTATGTTGACCTTTTAACTCTCAAGAATGTAATTCAAAGAAAACAAAATTTAGGCAGTTGTTGATAATTTAATGATGAGTTAGTGAAGCTCTTTACTCTTCATTAAGGGGCCTGAAAAATTCAGACAAACTGGGTAGTTGCTATGATGGAACTAATTGGTAGAGCTCCACAGAAATAAATTTCTACAAATGTTTTTTTTTTTCTTTTCAGAGATGAAGCACTGTGCCCTGTGACATTTATTTTTGCTGTTTTCACCACTGGAGGATGGCTGCCAGACCCTGTGAAAATGGTTCTGCTCAGCACCACTGCACCCACGCCAGCCAACGTCTTGAAATCAGCTACATGCTGGTCCTGATTATGCTTGGAAAAGTCTTCCTCGATTTCTTCATGTTGCAAATTAAGCCAAGACCTGTGAAAGTCAGTTTTATGGGATACTTCTGCGTTTCAGTGGCACTTCTCGATTTCACACTGCTGCTGAGCATGTGTTTCATTTTCTGTTTTGAGGACTTTGTGCTCTGGGGCGTGCGATTCACAGAGTACCACATCTGCCTCTTCACTCAGATCACCTCTCTGACCTACGGGATCTTGCCTTACCCGGTGTACCTGGTGGCTGCCCTGGATTATTATACCACTGTCTCCCGAACATCCCAGGTCCCTACAAGAGGTCGGAAGTTACTTTATGGATTTGCCGTGGTGGTTATATGGATTTCTGGGTTTTTTTGCACTCTCCAAGTTCCTGCTGTCTCTGAAGAGCTGCAAATGCAGAAGAGTGTTTCCCCTTCCCAGTGCCCTCTCTCTGGCAGCTGGCAGAGCTCCTCGGTGTCGTGGGCCATGGTGCTGCTGCTGGGCACGGCTCTCCTGGCTGGCTGGAAGGAGGTGACAACCATGCTGCTGTCTGCCAGGCTCCTCTCCTTTTCCAGCCAGCCTGTGCTGATGTTCCCCTACGTGCCTAACAACAACAACAACACCTGCTTTAAGTGGCAGCTCCTGAGCAGGCTCCTCCTGTGTTTCCTTGGCACTTGGGCACCGTTTGTTGTTCTCCAGGTGGTGGTTGTGCTCCTGGGTGTGCAGATCCCAGCCTATGTGGAGATGAACGTGCCCTGGCTGTGCTTCATCAACAGCTTTCTCCTGGCAGCAGCCTACTGGTGCCGGTGCCACGATGTGGAGCTGACGGAGGAGGGGTGGTGCACAGACCCCTTTGTCAGCTGGAAATTCTGCTTTATGCCGTTCAACAATGAAAGCACACAGCCAGCTGATAAGCCAGGCACAGTAATTGTCATCTGTTAATGAGCTGCCGACTGAAAGGGCTGCAAAGAAGCAGAACTCTGATGTTGGGTGGCCGGGTCCTTACAGACAACGCAAGGAAACATCTCCAGAGCTTCACTCCATAGAAACAAGTCCAGTGTCTAGCAAGACTTCAGTGAATACTGCACTGCAAGCACTGCCTGGTCAGGGAATTCATCTTCAAACTACACGTTTAAAAAACCACTGCTTATATAGGACAAGTTTTCAGTCATTTTTCTGACTAGAATTCTACTCTTCCTTTAAATGGAATTATCTCAGGTTTACAGTACAAAATGCAATAAAGTCTTCACGGCTGGAGTTACATGCAGATGCTGACCCAACGTTCAAATGACTTTTTGAAGTGTATTTTGTTGCCAAAATGTGGATTTTTGTCAGCTTGATGGAAGGTAAGGGTTGCTGTCTGTTTAACAAGAAATAACTTGTTTTAGTTAAAATTACGACTCCTACAGAAATAGAAATTTTATGTAGTGCAAAACCAGTGCAAGATGTGCAACTTCCACAACCACGGGAGAGGTGCTGTTTCATTGTTCCTTTGCTGCTGTTCCTCTAAGGTACACGAACATATTAATAATTAAATAATTAAAGCAATAAGCATCAAGGTTAGCTGCTATACATAAATGCATGCCCAAGGTTAAAGAATGGTTCAAATTAAAATATAGATTATTTTGAAGCCAAAATTACTTTAAAAGAGTTAAATATGAAGTGGGACTACTTCAGCAAGGAAAGAATTAGTCAGGCTTCTAGCAAAAATACTGTCAGTTTTCAAATTCTTAGAGTTTTACAATGGACTTGATTTGATTTTGTATAAGAGAAATAAATGATACACAACCAAAGCAGACAAATGAAATTAGCATTTATTTCTGAAGCACTAAACTCACAATACAATGTTGTATTGAAAGAGAAACTAAGTAAATGGTGCTGTAGGTTGGTTAACTGTCCCCCAGACCCACAGGGAACAATGATTTCACACAAGAATACTCATTAAGAAAACTCTGCAGATAACAAAAGGTGCAATTACAAGCAAGTTTAAGCAGCATAGTATAAGGTGCTTTGTTTCAGCATTTGTAGGATGGATTTATCCATTAAGAGACAGATTGAAGAAATGTCACTTACAGATCATAACAAATGAGAGAATCTAAAATTCATTCACATGCTAGTTGGCAATAGGAAAGTGCTTCTTAAAAAGTGATTCACAAAGTGAAGATCACACTTTTACATAGCTCATTGTGTGCTCTTTGTGTGAAACTGTAAAATTTCAATTTTGGGTAATAATTTATTTTATTATATATCAATTATAGAGATAGATTTAATTGCAGAATTTAAAACTACATGGGTTAAATTTTCTTATAAAAGAATATTCCAGTATTTCACTCCATAAGAATACACAATCACATCTCAATCATAAATTAATCTTTGATTTCTGAAACATACCAAAATCCGATTATTTTGATTACTTCACCCCACATAGTGCTTTTTTCACCCCCAGTCTGTGGTAAATTTCTTTGAGGTTTCCATAATGTAATCAAAAGGGGACAAGCATTTTTCAGCAGTAGAAAATGGTTTGGGGGGAAAACCTATTTAAAAGGCCATCAAAAGGACAGTAAATGATCGAAAACTGAATTTAAAAACTAGTGCAATAAGAGGAGGCAATGCTTAGCAATATAGTTTGAAGTGTTTGGCACCAAAAATTATTTCATTTTTTATGCTGGAAAATGTACTTGGAGGAAATTCTATTTCCATGTTAAAAGCAGGAAAACACATGCTATGTTAACTGTAAAAACAACCCTAAGGGATTGCTCCCTGCTCCCTCAAACTGCAATTGCTGTTAGTTAGTGCTGGAGATGCTATAGGATAAACCATGGCTAGACACAGGCCTTGGGCACAGCATTTCTTCAGGTTTTATAGAAATTGGACACCCACTGAAATTGGGCTGATGAAATATTTACAAAACCTAATTCCATTTAAAAATCAGCAAATACATCAAATATAGGAATGCACCAGGCATTTCAGAATCATGAAATAACTAATTCCTACAGACTCGGCAGGCAGGGGGAAATTCCTCTTTTAAAGTTCATTCAACACCAGATGAAGGAAAAGCTATTTTCAAGTTCATTTCAGGTGTGTTTTGCATGGTAAGTCTCACCCTTCTGAATCACTAACATGCACAGAACTGGAACTGCAACCAGTTGGGTGAGGCTGCTGACATGTTTTATTTATCAGTGTTGTTCAGCTTCTCAAGCCCTAATTAAAGTTTACCCAACCCCATCTGCCCTAACGTGCCAGAATTCCTGTAGCTGCTGCAGTGCTCCTAAAGCCACTTGAAGTTTTTAACATTTTTTACAGGGAACACACAACTTGCAGCCAAAACAAATATTAATGGATTGATGTTACATCTCTGTATTACTTGTCAAATTTATTCTTTCTTACTTTTTGTGGAAAAGTGCCAAAGAGCATCAGCTTTTAGGCTGCCACCTCCACTGAGGAGACAACAGTGGCAGGTCTCCACCAACATCCAACTGTGGTGCCTGAGCCTGCCAAGGGACTGTTTTAAAACATATTAATGGCAACCCTCTTTGCAAGCCCACTTTTATCCTTACTTTCAGGGAGGGAGACACCAGCTGTGCAGTGATCTCCATCCTACTGCCTTCCTAACAATTGTCTTTTACTCTGCATTTTTTTTTATTAACCTGGTGCTTCTGGGCAGTCCCAGCACTGGTGCCAGAACCATCCCTCTCTAGTGACAGTTTCACTGCCAGAGAGGACAGAAGCTGTGCCAGGAAGAAGGAAATATCTGAAATAAAAGAACTACAGATAACCACTGCTACATCTCCTCTGTACATCACTTCTTGTGCTGTGCCAGCAACTAATGGCCTTACACCATTCAAATACCTTACAGTATTGATATTAATACTAACAGCAGCTAAAGTGTTAAACCTTTATGGGAGATTTCTGTACTTTTCTCATTTAAAGAATCTCCTACTTACCAACACTGATTTCAATGAGATATTCTATGTGTTTTCAACTCTGAACAGAGTATTTGGCACTCAATGATAAAACCCTTCATCTTTACACACATCTTTCCTGGTCAGTACTGGCTTGTTCATCCTATAACACAAAGACTGCTTGGAAAGGAAGTTTTTAGGTGTGCAGAATCCCTCATTGTTCTTTCCAAAACTGAATTTGCAAAAAGCTGCCAGAGGATGGAAGCATCCTGGCTGGGTAGTGGAGGACACCACAAGCCTTCCACAGGCTGCCCAGGCTTCACTCACAAAGCAGATCTACCTCATGAATCAAAGACATTTGTGCTTCAAGCCTAATCCCATAATCAGCATAGATACCCTGATTATTACCTAGCAACAACACCCCGAGCCTGTCAACAACCCTATGTACCCAAGCAGTGCTTCATAAACACCATTAGAATGCTCCTTCAGTGTTATGTATTGCACTTAAACAGTGTTTATGATCACAATTCTACAAATGCACAATTGTGCTCATGTTACAATTACTTCTAGATGGAAAAAAAATATTTTAAAATCTTATTTTTCTAGCTCCTTACTCTACAGAGTCATTTGGATAATTCAACAGGAATACTTGCTGGAAATGTAAAAAATTTTAACTTGAAAGTTCATTACACTGGCTCCCAGAACTGTGCTTCAGAAAAGTTAAACCCATGGCTACAAAAGCTGGACTATGAACTTACTCCATTCCTGCAATTACCAGCATATTCAAAGCTCTGAACTTTGCTTTTTCAATTCCACTTTGCTGTAAGAGATCAGAAAATGCCATGCAACCTTCAAGTGAATGAGCAGGTGTGTGTTTTAATGCAGAGGTTACACAAACCTACACAGCAGCTTAGGATGGGGCCTTGAGCACATGTGGAAGTGCTGTCCTTGAGAGCCAGGGGATGAGGCAGGACACAAAACTCCCCAGCCCTCAGAGCTGACACCCAAGAGAGCAAAATGCCACTCTCAGAAACTGAGTGTGGAAGGAAATGTCAGATTTTCAAAGAGATGAAGATGGTAAAAACAAACCAGGCTGATTCTCATGGATTAGGGCACTGTGTGCTCACTGCCTTGGTGCTCAGTGTGTGTCCCAGGCCCTGACTCCATCAGCTCAGACCAGGGACAGCTTCCTGAAAAGCCCACACAGCTGGCACTGGAGCATTACTACTGTCTCTTTTCCAATGTCACCATTTGCAAAGCCATCCAGGTATGTAACTACAGAGAACCTTTCAGGTCTAAATAAACTCTCATGACTAAAGGCAAATTATTTTAAAATTAATTTAATTTAGGCTCATCTTAAATGAACCAAGCACTAAATGAATTAAAAATTTCTTTCTCCTCACAGTATTTCCTGTCTGAAACTACAGGTCACTATGCAAGAGTGACTTGAAAATTAATTCAATATGAGTAATTAACACTTTACACTGAAATTATTCATTGATAGCTCTGCTCATACCTTTTCCACTCAGTATTTAACAGGAACAGGGTATTTAAAACAAAATACTCTAAAATATTAGCTTCTCTCCATCTCTAATAAACTAACTCAGGTGCATATTAAAAAACTACCCTAGACTGATTGTTTTGTACAGTCATTATCTGCAACCTAAAACAATCAATGAGGAAATACCTGGGTAAGGATGACAAATATATTTCTAAGTATAGGTTAACAGGACATCTCTATAAAATACTGGTGAGAAAATAACACTGCAAGCTTTTATACATGCTGAGTTTTAATATGAGCAGTCTCAGTACAATCAGAACTACTCATGTTACAAATTATGGGGATGTCTAATTATTTGCAAAACCAGGACTCAACACAGCTGTCACTGAATTCTTTGATCACTCAGAGCTGTAGATTTGTCACTGTAAGAAATCTGTTGAGCTCTTGAGGTGGAAGTTTCTGCATGGATATTGTGATATTGGAATGAGAACATCCACCTGAAACTGGCATTAGTTGTAGCTGCCATGCCAGGCGCTGACACCCAGCCCAGTCTCACACTGAACTTCCATTCAAATTACACTTCAGTTGTTTTGTACCTGAAAATTTCCTTCCACTTCAAGGTACAGAAATGATGCAAAAGCTATCACAGATCTGCCCGAACCGTTGGTTTTACCCTTTAATCCTTTCCTCTTCCTGCCACATCTGCAGTTACAAAGGAATTCAATCTGTTCTATCCAAAAGGCTGGATTCATTTAAGGACAAAGCACAGGTGGAAGTCAGGGGGTAAATACCTGCTTTCACAGGAAAAAAATGAGGAAATGGATGCCTGCAGGACACAAATCTTCTATTTGAAATGTCTCATTGACAAAAATCTAGCAAAGGCTTTACCCTCCATCAAGAACTTCATTTCTGGAAAAAAAATGATGGGTTAATGGGTAAAGAATGGATTTACAATGCAGCCTGTTTAAAACCCCTTCAAACACTCTCTGCTGAGCCAAAACAACTGGCACTTCAAGTCAGTGGAGGCAGACAAGCTTCCTCAGGGGAGTGCCCTGCTCCTGCTGCAAAGCAGGGATGCTGATACAAGCCAGATGGATCAGGGGAGGCTGCACACCCCTTTTGATCTTTCATGTGCAGTTCTTTAAAACCCCAACAAACCCTGAAGCTGAGACACGTGTCACAGTTCTGTTCTGTTGCATGAAATCTTGACAGACACCTTCAGCCCAGTGCTCTGCAAAAGGGCCTTGCCCTGAGCTAATGCT